TCAATTATCATTGAAATCCTGCAAGCTTATGCTCTTACTGGATATGACACAGTTACATGCTGCTACGTGTCTTGGGGAAAGGAACAGCTTTGAAAGTGGTGAGAGGTTGATTGTATTCTCTCTCACTCTTCGGGGTAGTAGACGCTCCAGTAGAAAAATGAGCTCATCACCAAGCTATTTATTGTGTGGCGTTCACTGGAAGATGGTAATCTGCCGGAACTTGATCCGGAACTGTATTGCTGGTTGAAGGATACTTAATTGAGAACAATACAACCAGCCATCTTGCTTCCGGAGTCTGTCATGTGGCTCATCAGATGAGGATGCAAGTACAGAAATTCACGCGAATCTCCGAATCTAATACAATGAATCGGCCACATGGTATCACAAATCAATCTACTTTTGGCTAATATTGCAACTTTAATTATTACTTGTTAATACAATGAATCGGCCACATGGTATCACAAATCAATCTACTTTTGGCTAATATTGCAACTTTAATTATTACTTGTTAATTAAGAATTGTTGGCTACAACAACAGTCATACACCTTCGTGAGAATTGGCCATATGTGGTTCATAATCCGAGTAATTAGCACATTTAACGGTGATTTTAATAATCCGGTAAAAAAATCAAAACAAGCTTGCTGATAATTCATAAAAGGTTTAGTAAAAGTCGCCACGTGGTGAGTGAAGACAATCTTGCATGGTTTGAAAATCGCGCATCTTCCACACTCTGTCCGTGTAAATTCCAGGTACCAATAGATAAAATAATAACCGGATCATACATTGATGGATTCACTGACCAGTTGTTAGGTAAATTTAAATCTTCATTGAATAAAAACCCGTTATAGAACACTGAATACATGGATTGAGAAACAGTGGATATTTTCCCATGTCAATGACATGTGACTTAATAAACCAGTACGTTCTAAATAGCATTTACCATTATGATTTTTTTTATTTTATATACATGCTGATAGAGGCTTAATTTTAAAAATATTATTGAAGGCTATATCATAGTCGTACAGAATTTTATTTTATAGCAATTTCAGTTATGGTTGTCACGTGATCATTGTGTCGTTTGTCTATCATCGACAAATGAATAAAAACTTTTGCATGTTACGTGACTAGTTACGAGATGGACAAAAGACTACAAATTGTGCTATGAAGAAATGCCATGGTGCTGTATCAACTTATTTTGACTACGGCATTTTCTGGTATTACTTTTGACACAATTTAAGTGTTTACCAAAAACTCCATCTGATTATGTTATTATTTGTCCCCCGCCTTTCGAAGAAAGCAAGGGACTATTAAAATGGGTTCGTCCGTCTGTCTGCCTGTCTTTCCGTCTGTCCGTCTGTCTGTCCGTCACACTTTTTGGGACACAATAACTCTCTTCCTAATTGAGCTAGAATGTTCAAACTTGGTGTATGTGTTTATTAGGTCAATGCCTTGATGGAGTTCGAAGATGAGCATTTTCCGCTTAGGGTAAGCAGAGATAAGCAATTTGATTGGTTGATGCTTTGGGACACGATAACTCTCTTCCTAATTGGGCTAGAATGTTCAAACTTGGTGTATGTGTTGATTAGGTCAATGCCTTGATGGAGTTCGAAGATGAGCATTTTCCGCTTAGGGTAAGCAGAGATAAGCAATTTGATTGGTTGATGCTTTGGGACACGATAACTTTTAATTGAGCTAGAATGTTCAAACTTGGTGTATGTGTTTATTAGGTCAATGCCTTGATGGAGTTCGAAGATGAGCATTTTCCGCTTAGGGTAAGCAGAGATAAGCAATTTGATTGGTTGATACTTTGGGGCACGATAACTCTCTTCCTAATTGAGCTAGAATGTTCAAACTTGGTGTATGTGTTGATTAGGTCAATGCCTTGATGGAGTTCGAAGATGAGCATTTTCCGCTTAGGGTAAGCAGAGATAAGCAATTTGATTGGTTGATGCTTTGGGACACGATAACTTTAGTTCTAATTAAGTGAGATTGATGAAACTTGGTGTATAGTTTCATTACAGTAATACCTTGACTAAGTTTGATAATGTCCCCCGCCTTTCGAAGAAAGCAGGGGACTATTAAAATGGGTTCGTCCGTCTGTCTGTCTGTCCGTCCGCCTGTCTGTCCGTCCGCCTGTCTGTCCGTCACACTTTTTGGGACACAATAACTCTCCTTCTAATTGACCTAGAATGTTCAAACTTGGTGTAGGTGTCTATTAGGTCAATGCCTTGATGGAGTTCGAAGATGAGCATTTTCGGCTTAGGGTAAGCCGAGATAAGCAATTTGATTGGTTGATGCTATGGGACACGATGACTTTAGTTCTAATTACGTGAGAGTGATGAAACTTGGTGTATAGTTTCATTACATCAATACCTTGACTAAGTTCGACAATGAGCATTTTCTGCTCAGAGTAAGCAGAGCGATAAGCAATTTGATTGGACGAGACTTTGGAACACAATAACTCTCCTTCTATTTGAGCTAGAATGTTCAAACTTGGTGTAGGTGTTTATTAGGTCAATGCCTTGATGGGGTGTGAAGATGAGCATTTTCTGCTTAGGGTAAGCAGAGATAAGCAATTTGATTGGTTGATACTTTGGGACACGATAACTTTAGTTCTAATTAAGTGAGAGTGATGAAACTTGGTGTATAGTTTCATTACATCAATACCCTGACTAAGTTCGATGATGAGAATTTTCAGCTTAGGCTAAGGAGCAATAAGCATTTTGATTGGTTAAGACTTTGGAACATAACAACTCTTCTTCTAATTGAGGTAGAATGTTAAAACTTGATGTAGATGTTCATCTTGACTTAGTTCAATGATTAACATATCGTGCTAAAGCTAAGAAGAGATAAGCAATTTCCTTGGTCGATGCTTTGGAACAAGATAACTTTGATTCTATCTGATAGAGAGTGATGAAACTTAGTGTATAGTTTATAATCAGTTGATTGCTGGATACTTTTGAAAAAAAATAGATGTGCGATTAATTAATATGTGTCATCTATTTATTTGGGGATTTCGGCGGGGGACATCAGCCTCACTGTTGGCTTGTTATCACTGTTGTTGTATTTTGGTGTTTTACATTAACACAATAAACACAATTTTGTTTTTTAGACAGTATTATTAATTAAGATTCGGAGGATTCGTGCAGATTCCATATATGAGAATCCTCTTAGATTTTCGCAAAAAATGGCGAATTTCTAGCCATTGTAGTACACTTGTAGCTGCACTAAGAATGGCTTAGAATATACAATATGTTGCGCTTGTGCTGTTGCAGCCAGAAACACGACTAAAGGATTAAACTGAATATTGCTTAGTTTTGTGGGTGTTATTTTTGTGTTGGTTTTTTAAATTTTCACAAAACAGTCTGTGTCCCCCTTTTCATGCTGGCCCATCTAGCCCTGGAACCTCTTATAGGCATGTATGTGGTGTTATCACTCATATGCTCCTATATCCAGAAATATATAGTTTGTCTCCAGATATAGTTGGGTTTGGTGAAATTATGGCCCTCAACCACCACTGACGAGTTAAAGGGCCATATTGTCTGGCATTTTGGGTTTTACTATTATCTAATCACCCCACAACATAATGAACGATTTCAGTGTATTCCCTGACCCCAGAAACATACAAGACACCAAAATTATCATCCTAGATTAAATACTATGGGGGTTATTTGAAATGGCGGCCGTCTTGGACGCCATCTTGAATTTCTCAAAACGCTCAAGGGTGACCGAGGTTCACCTAGCAGATTCTGAAAGAACACCCTAGGCTACTAAAATCAATCATAAAAAAAAACTGGGTTTGGCGACTAGACTATTTAGGTTGTGAACACATTGAACATTTTTTTATACACCCACATTTTTATGTGGACGTATATTGTCGTTTCTCCTGTCCGTCAGGACATCTGTCCACAGTATTTTTGTGGATAATCTACTGCTCACAATTTTTATCCGATTTTGACGCAACATGAAATATAGGTTTATCTACCAAAGGTCTTGACTCCTTTTGATATTGGCATGTATCGTAGAGTAACTTCATGGATCAATGTACGAAAATAACGTTTTAAGCTTGTGGACACTCTAGAGGTTACAATTTGTCTCCGATTTTTGATGAAGTTTGAAATGTATGTTTATAACCAAAATATCTCAGTTTCTTTTGATATTCCGCATATCGGAGTGTGACTTCATGGATTATGGTCCCTGAATGTACGAAGAAATCGTGATGTTAGCTTATGAACCCTCTAGAGGTCATAATCTTTATCCAGTTTCAAAAATCGTTTAAATATATCATCGTTACCCCTGATGATGGTTGAGTTCGAATTCCGTAAAAATCGGACCAAAACTGCCCAACAATATTGGGGGCGGCTGTATGGCCGAATGGTTAGCATGTGCACGCTGTTTCGTAAGGTCTCTCATTGAGTTAACTGGCAATGAACACGAATAGTATAAAAGTATGTAATACCTAGGTTGTGGACCCTCTAGAGGTCACAATTTTTATCCGATTTTGATGAAATTTAAAATATATGATTTTATTCCAAAGATCGCGGTTCCCTTCGATATTCGCGCACATCAGATCATAACTTCGTGGATTTTGGCCCCTGATTGTAGCTTGTAGACCCTCTAGAGGTGACAATTTTTATCCAATTTAAAAAAAAACGTTTAAATACATCACTGTTGCACCGTAATGAAGGTTGAGTTCGAATTTTGGGAAAATCAATACAAAACTGCCCAACAAAATGGCCGCACCTTGTACGCAATTGGTGTACAAGAATGTAATACGAAGGTTGTGAACCATCTAGAGGTCACAATTTTTGTCCGCTTTTGGTGAAACTTAAAATATATGTTTATATATTCACGCATTCCAGACCATTACTTACTGGATTATGGCTCTGTACGAGAAATGTTTTTTTTTTGTTGTTTTTTTAGCTTCATCTCTGTCCATCTCTTGCAAAATGTGGGCGTATCTTGCATGCTAACCGCTTGTTTACCTTATTATTTTCAGGCTGGTTTTAGTCAGGGCTTGTCATTTGGTACTGATGATTTTTCTTTGGAGGATTTGGATCCATTGAATTCAAAATAAAAGATGCTCATCAACACAGCTCAGAATGTTTTATCATTAAGTTTATTATTACTTGGCTTTTTAAAACAATGAGAGTTCTAGTCTAGTTGTTACAATATTTAAGAATGGATCTGGTAGATTTATTTAATCTAATGTTATTGAGAATCATAAAGTTGTTATATATACTGGATTATTGCTTAAAGTAAATCACTTTATATAGATCTAAGTTATTGAAAGAAGTTTTAAAATTGTTTAAACATACATTGTCCCGAAAGTATTTATTGGGTGGTTATTTCCAGTAAAAGTATAACAAATGTGGTACATATGAAAAATATAGACACCCAATCTTACTAGAAAAATACTGGATTACCTGAAAAACACCAATGGCAAAAGGGGGGTTGGATGGCCGAATGGTTAGCATGCGCGCGCTGTATCATACGCTCTGTCATTGAGTCAACTGGCGGGGTTTCGATTCCCCGGTTGTACGTGACAAGAAGTTGGGTCGCCTGTCCAACCTCGTGAGTCCTCCCTCTGCTAAAAAGACCCCTACGCGTTATTAAATAAAATTGAACCATGTGTTAGTCCCGAAATGACCTAGTTTGTGTTGAGTGGACGTTAAACCCCATTTCTCTCTCTCTCTCTCTCCAATGGTGCAAGCACTGGGCAAAAATGTCAGGGTGTTGTCTGCCAGCTTATTGTGTGCTAGCTTGACTGAGGGAGCGGTTGTTATTTCTTGATCAAATGGTTAGGCGATGTTGGGAACATTGAGGGGTGTCAACGTACAAAAGACTGTTATTAAACGACGGAATTAGAAGTTGAAAGAAAATAATTAAGAATTTACTTAGGCCTCAATATGTGTGATAAATGGACAGTAAGTAATGAAAAATACATTCTGAAAAATGGACCCTCCCCCAATGAATTGAGGTCATAGACATGGCGTCTAACAACAGTTTATTTATAGCTTTAGGTATCTCCCCGCGAAAACAAAGTTTCGAGAGGGATATGAAGCAAATTTTTGATGGATAAATTAGTTTGAATATGTTTTTATACACCCACATTTTCATGTGGACGTATATTGTCATCGTCCCTGTCTGTCCGGACGCCCACAATTGTTTGTGGACACTCTACAGGTCACAAATTTTATCTGATTTCAATGAAACTTGAAATATAGGTTTATCTCCCTAAGATCTTGGTTCCTTTCGATATTGTTTGTATTGGACCATATTGGCATGTATCGGAGCGTATCTTCATGGATTATGGCCTCTTGATTGTACAAAAAATTGTGTTTTTAGCTTGTGGTCCCTCTAGAGGTCACAATTATTATCTGATTTAAAACACTGTTCGAATATATCACCGTTTGAATATTTCACCGTTACACCCTAATGATGGTTGTGTTCGAATTTCACCCAGTTTTGATGAAACTTGAAATGTATGTTTATAACCCAAAGACCTTGGTTCCTTTTGATATTCGCGCATATCAGATCATAACTTCCTGAATTATGTCCCCAAAGATCTCAGTTCCTTTCGATATTTGCCCATATCTTCCTGGATTAAGGCCCCTGATTGTACAAAAAATCACATTATTTTTTTTTTAGGTCGTTATCTGTCCATCTCTTGCAAAATGAGGACGTATCTTGCATGGCAACCGCTTGTTAGTCCAACTATATCATCAAATCACACAATTTGTACACAGGAAAGTTTCTCTAATTGATGTGTTTTGAAAATTATTTAACATTAATTAATCTTCCACCAAAAGTGTATACGGTACACATGAACATTCCTGCACATTCCATATTTTATTATGTTATGTTATTAAATTATAATAGAGGATCTAGTTACTTTATGTTTTTATATTTAATTGAAATACAAACTTGATGAGACTGGATGGTTACATTCAAATTGGCTGAAGGGTACATAATATTTATGTCATAATAATTTGTGTAAAAGCATAACAAAATATAAGGGGAACATTTTTTCTGAATAACATCATGTAATACATTCAAATTTTTTTTTTTTATCTTTATTTTTAATAAAAGAATTTTTTATCCTTTATAATAATCTTTTGATTCTTTGCATTTTGCCATTAACTTTTTTTGAGAAATGAATTTTGTGTTTGATTAATAATATTAATTGTAAATATGATGCATGATATTACTTAATAATAAAATCAAAATTTTCCTGATTGAGCATGTTCAAACATTAGTTTACACAGGCCTAGAATGTTCTTTAGGATTTTATAGAAAACTACACTGGTAATCTATGACTTTTTGCTAAGGATATCTTCGATTGACAGCCGACTAATGCCATCATTAAACAGATAACTGAGCCAAACATCACTCTCACTTAATTAAAACCAAAGTTATTGTGCCCAAAAGCATCAACCAATCAGATTGCTTATCGTAAGCAGACAATGTTTATCATCTAACTCCATCAAAACATTCACCTAATGAACGCCTACACCAAGTTTAAACATTCTAGTTCAATTAGAATGAGAGTTATTGTGTCCCAAACCATCAACCAATCAAATTGCTTATCACTGCAGAAAATGTCCATCTTCGAACTCCATCAAGGCATTGACCTAATAAACATATACACCAAGTTTGAACATACTAGCGCAATTAGAAGGTGTTCCAAAGTCTTGGCCAATCAAATTTCTTATCACTCTGCTTATCCTGAGCAGAAAATGCTCATTATCGAACTTAGTCAAGGTATTGATTTAATGAAACTATACACCAAGTTTCATCACTCTCACTTAATTAGAACTAAAGTTATTGTGTCCCAAAGCATCAACCAATCAAATTGCTTATCTCTGCTTACCCTAAGCAGAAAATGCTCATCTTCAAACACCTAGACCAAGTTTGAACATACTAGCTCAGTTGAGACGCACTACCGACTCTCATCTGTGAACAGAACAGTTCTCCATTGCCTGTGTCACCAGTTCTGGTGTTGTTGGGCAAACTATAGACGTTCACTTCGATGGCGAGGTGTGAGGATCGGTCCACGGTAAGGTCAAATACAATGGATGTTCTCTCTGGTGAGACGTCTGCGCACTGTATCGGTACCTTGAGGGTCTTCCGTGTGTTCCCACTAAATGACGTGCTGTCTCAGATGCCTGTGTGAAGGGATTCTGCACATGCTGTCGCACAACATGGCGGCCTTGTGGTAACCCTTGGTCTACCAGTTCAAGGGCAATCATCCATAATTCAGGAAGATACAATCCGATACACATGATTATCGAAAGGAACCAAGATCTTTGGGTTATAAACATGTATTTCACCTTTCATCAATATAGTAAAAAAATTGTGACCTCTAGAGGGTCCATAACCTTTATTTACCAGATGTTTACACTATTTGCGAACACAACCAAAATTACGGTGTAATAGTGATATATTTGAACTTTTTTTAAATCGGATAATAATTGTGACCTCTGGAGGGACCACAAGCTAAAAATGTGATTCTTTATACATTCAAGGGCAATAATTCAGGAAGATACACACAGATACATGTGAATATCGAAAGGAACCAAGATCTTTGGGTTATAAACATGTATTTCAACTTTCATCAAAATCGGATCAAAATTGTGACCTCTAGAGGGTCCACAACCTTGATTTACCAGATGTTTACACTATTTGCATACAAGGGGCGGCCATTTTGTTCAGCAATGTTGGCCCGATTTTCATGAAATTCGAAGTCAACAAACATTACGTTGTAACGGTGATATATTCGAACGTTTCTTTAAATCAAATAATAATTGTGACCTCTAGAGGGACCACAAGCTAAAAACGCGATTTTCTGTACAACCAGAGGCCATAATTCAGGAAGTTACGATTCGATATACGCGAATATTGAAAGGAACCAAGCTTTTTGGGTTATAAACATGCATTTCAAGTTTCATCAAAATCAGAAGAAAATTGTGACCTCTAGAGGGTCCACAACATTGATATACCATATTTTTACGCTATTTGAGTACGAGGGGTGGCCATTTTGTCTGTCAGTTTTGGTCCAGTTTTTACGAAATTCGAACTCAACCACCCTTAGGGTGTAATGGTGATATACTAAAATGTTTTTTTAAATCGGATAAAAATTATGACCTCTATAGGGTCCACAACCTTGATATACCATATTTTTACGCTATTTGAGAACGAAGGGCGGCAATTTTGTCTGTCAGTTTTGGGCCGATTTTCACTAAATTCGAACTCCGCCGTCCTTAGGGTGTAACGGTGATATAATACGTTTTTTGTAAATCGGATAAAGATTATGACCTCTTTAGGGTCCACAAGCTAAAAACACGATTTTTCGTACAATCAGGGGCCATAATTCAGGAAGTTACGGTCCGATATGCACGAATATCGTCAGGAATAAGATCTTTGGGTTATAAACTTACATTTTAAGTTTCAAAAAAATTGGATAAAAATTGTGACCTCTATAGGGTCCACACCCTTGATATACCATATTTTTACGCTATTTGAGAATGAACGGCGGCCATTTTGTGATTTTTCGTACAAACAGGGGCCATAATCCATGAAGTTTCGATCCGATACATGCCAATGTCGAAAGCAACCCAGATCTTTTGGAGATATACCATATATTTTAAGTTTCGTCAAAATCGGATAAGAATTGTGACCTGTAGAGTGTCCCCAAACAATTGTGGACGGACAGACGTCTAGACGGACAGGGGCGACGACAATATATGTCCACATGAAAATCTGGGGGTATAAAAACGAAACGAAATATAGATCTGTATTTTAATCAGATTGCAGCAGTGTTCAAAGTAAATATAAATATAACTTTTAAAAAGAAATATCGCCCCAAATGACCGTCACTTCATCACTATCGGCATTTATGCCTTTGGATATATGGCGGGAATTGTCGTCTTCTTTGTTTCATTGCGTCGAAAATAAAAATATATAGTTGAAATCTTCGACAATGTAATATTCCTCTATGTAGCTTGTATCAAATCCTAAATGTTTTGATTCAATTTGGCTTTCCAAAGTCTAGAATTATTATCCGTAAGTTTTGTTGTATCGTCTGTCGGGAAGCGTGTTCAAGATGGCAGCCAACACGCTTGATCTCGGCCGGAGTATACGCATTCTTCGGATCATAACGTTAAGAAAAAAAATAGAAATAATTGATTCCTTCAACATTATCATATTCCGCGATATGTCTGGCAGTAAATCATAAAAAATCTGATTCCATTTCACTCTCCATATCATAAAATTATCAGTCGTAAGTGACAACGTGGAAATAATGGAATAATGCCAAAGATCCTTTGTTGAAACGTATGTTTTTTATTCGATAATTAGCGAATATAACATTCCTTTTCATTGGGTGTTTTATTTTTATTACTCAATCAACATTAATTTAAGAAATAAAAACAATAGAAATCAGTTGATTGATCTGGCGCCTTTGTTCGCTAATGCCGTTGCCAACTATGATGGGTCGGCCAGTTGATTCGCTACCGTAAAATGACAGGTGCGAATTGTTCGCCCTCGTCAAAAATGGGTTAAACAAGCCAAGCATAAATAGATGACACATATTAGTTAATCGCACATTTATTTTTTTTCAATAGTATCAAGAAATAAAACCGATTATCAACTATACACCAAGTTTCATCACTCTCTATCAGATATAATCAAAGTTATTTGGTCCAAAGCATCTACCAATAAAATTGCTTAGCTCTTTTTAGCTTTAGCTCAAAATATTAATCATTGATCTCAGTCAAGACATTCATCTAATGAACATCTACATCAAGTTTAAACATTCTACCTCAATTAAAAGCAGAGTTGTTATGCTCCAAAGTCTTGACCAATCAAATTGCTCATCGATCCTTCTTAGCCTAAGCCGAAAATTCTTATCATCAAACTTAGTCAAGGTAATGATATAATGAATCTATACTCGGAGATTCATCACTCTCACTTAATCAAAACCAAAGTTATTGGCTCTAAAGCATCAACCAATCAGACTGCTTATCTCTGCTTACCGTAAGCCGACAATGTTTATCATCGAACTCAATCAAGGCATTCGCCTAATGAACGCCTACACCAAGTTTGAACATTCTACCTCAACTAGAAGGAGAGTTATTGTGTTACAAAATCTTGGCCAATCAAATTGTTTATCGTTCTGCTTACCCTGAGCAGAAAATGCTCATTATCGAACTTAGTCAAGGTAATGATGTAATGAAACTATACACCAAATTTCATCACTGTCATTTAATTAGAACTAAAGTTATCGTGTCCCAAATCAACCAATCAAATTGCTTATTTCTGCTTACCCTAAGCAGAAAATGCTCATCTTCAAACTCCATCCAAGGCATTGACCTAATAAATATATACACCAAGTTTGAACATACTAGCGCAATTAGAAGGTGTTCCAAAGTCTTGGCCAATCAAATTTCTTATCGCTCTGCTTATCCTGAGCAGAAAATGCTCATTATCGAACTTAGTCAAGGTATTGATGTAATGAAACTATACACAAAGTTTCATCACTCTCACTTAATTAGAACTAAAGTTATTGTGTCCCAAAGCATCAACCAATCAAATTGCTTATCTCTGCTTACCCTAAGCAGAAAATGCTCATCTTCAAACACCTAGACCAAGTTTGAACATACTAGCTCAATTAGAAGGAGGGTTATCGTGCCCCAAAATGTGTGACAGACGGACAAGGTGGGGGACAATTGATTCTGAATATTATCGAAATATTAATCCGGCTGTGAAATCTGATCTGGAAGCCATCCATGGAAATCGGGGCCAGATTGAGCTTGCATGGGGCCCTTGCATCAACAATGAAAAACGGCCATATTCTATACGTACATTGAGTGCGATTGGTTTTTAGGATTGGGTTAGATCAAGGGAAGGACAACAGAAAAAGAGGGCACAATGTTGTCATCAGGGCATTTCCTTGAGTACTTGAGGTAACTGTCAGAATTCGTGGGCACTTTTTCAGAAGAGAGGGCACATAGCCACACACATCCCTATACCCTAGTAGGAAATAAATCAGATTCGGGCGTTTTCAACCATTTCTTTTGTTTTTGCATTTATGAGGGCAGGATAGGCGGCTGTTTATCTGCCTCTGCATCATATGATAAAAGAAATGTCATGTGACTGTGTAAATAGGCAATATGTAAGCCAGCTAAGACATCCACTTTTTCAGGTGTCAGTGATGTTGACAACTATGTAAATACAAGATTGTGGCATCTTCTTAACCCCCGAATTCAATTGCGGATTTGATTGACATAAGCACAGATACAAGTAGTTTCTCCCAGTTAAGAAGTCGACATAAATGCTATAACAGTTATTGAATTTATCACAGATAATAGTTACCGGTAGGCCAAAACAACTTAATATACTCTTCAAAAAAAGTAGGGGATATTGAAATGCAAATAGTCATGGACACTTGACATGCTTTGAGAGTATGTTCACAGATGAAGAACTTATCGCCCCAACTGAACCACTAAGCTGCACATGCGACACCGAGCGGAATCTGTCACCTGGATTTGAGATCAAGTTAGCACACATATTCTCTCACCGTATTCCAGCACCCGGATTCGAGATCAAGTTAGCCCACATTATTTCCTAGCCCCAAGAAAAACCTAGATATAATTATGACGAAAATAATTGTTACCTTTATATTAGAAAATAAAATTTTAAAACATATTAATGCAAACTATACATGGAATAGATCCCGCAACCCCACCCTACACCCCAAAATATACTATTACCGTAAACATACTAAAATATTGCACACTAGGCTAACTGAGCATGCAAAAATGGGGTACGTCCATTTTGCATCAAAAAGCACCCCAACCAGTTTATTCATCTCTTGATTCCGTGAAACAAAAAAACATTTTCCCACCAAAGCTGGTTTGGGTCGTTTTTTGATGCTGCATGGGCGTGCACGTTGTTTATTGAACCCACAAACTCTGTTCATCGACGTCAACCGATAACACTGCAAGAGGAGTGGGCAGATTGCCCCAAAAAGTGATTGGACGGTTGATTAGGAGCATACAACAACGAATGGCTGAATTTCTGAGAATTGGTGGAGCAATTACTCATTATTAAGACAAATCAAAAACGTCCATTTTCACTTTTGACAGTGTATCTCTTTGCGAGTGAAATGGGGCCGTCTGATAAGCCGCCCATATGAACTGTTTATGTTCATGGTTACTCACAGGTTAGGCAATTGGCCTGTTATTAACATACACTGGTTACCTCTAATAGTAATAACCAGAAAGTTATGGCCTGAAATGTGCAAATATCAAAAGGGAAGTTAAGTTCAGGTATCTGCGATTATCAAAAGGAACCAAGATCTTCGTGTTTTTTGTTCAATCAAGGGCCATAATTCAGGAGGTGATGATCCGATATGCGTGAATATCGACAGGAACCAATATCTTTGGGTTATAAACATGTATTTCATGTTTCATTGAAATCGGATAGAAATTGTGACCTCTAGAGGGTCCACAACCTTGATTTACTAGATGTTTGGCCCGATTTTCATGAAGTCAACAAACATTACGGTGTAACGGTGATATATTCAAACGTTTTTTTTAAATCGGATAAAAATTGTGAACTCTATGGGGTCCACAAGCTAAAAACACGATTTTTCGTACAATCATGAGGGACCACAATTCAGGAAGTTATGGTTCGATATGCGCGAATATCGAAAGGAACCAAGATCTGTGGGTTATAAACATGCATTTCAAGTTTCATCAAAATCAGATAAAAATTGTGACCTCCAGAGGGTCCACTTGCAACCCTGATACGCAATATTTTGACACTATTTGCGAACAAGGGGCGGCCATTTTGTCCGCCAGTTTCGGTCCGATTTTTACGAAATTTGAGCTCAACCATCCTTGGGGTGTAACAGTGATATATTCACACATTTTTTTTAAATCAGATACAAATTGTGACCTCTTTGGGGTCCACAAGCTAAAAACACGATTTTCTGTACAATCAGGGGCCATAATTCAGGAACATGGTCCGATATGCGTGAATATCGAAAGGAACCAAGATCTGTGGGTTATAAACATACATTTCAAGTTTAAATGAAAGGAAATGAAATGGGGTTTAACGTCCTACTGTTCTGCTCCTATACTGGGCTAATGAAGACGGGCATACGCCACACAGTGTGTTATGAGGGAAATTTTGCCCGGGCAGCGGCACTATCGCCTACTCTTATATCGAATTCCAACTGCCAAGGGATCTTTTACATGCATTCCAATGTATACACGGGACCTTGTTTTTTTGTCTCATCCGAAGGACTAGACAGCTGTCCTTGTCAGGCCCTGCATCACTGACAAGGGGGAACCACGCCAGAAAATCTGGATGAACTTTCTCGGCCAATGCAGGGATTGAACACCCGACCTCTAGATTTCAAGTTTAAACCAAATCGGATAAAAATTGTAGTCTCTACAGTGTTCACAAGCTAAAAACGCAATTTTTCGTACAATCAGGGGCCATAATCTATGAAGTTACGGTCCGATACATGTCAATATCGAAAGTAACCGAGATCTTGGGAGATAAACCTGTATTTCAAGTTTCATTTTAATCGGATAAGAATTGTGACCAGTAAAATTGTGGACGGACGTCTGGACTGACAGGGGCGACGACAATATACGTCCACATGAAAATGTGGGCGTATAAAAACAGCAGTGTATTTTAACAGTTTTGTATTGTTTCTGAATATCCCCTACTTTTTTTGAAGAGTATAGTTAGGCCAAAGCAACTTAATATTTAGTTCTTCACGGGCTTGATAATTAAACAGCCACTTAAGTCTATAAAATTTCAAACTTTATTAAACACAAACACCCACATGTAAGTCACATCAAAGAACTGTAAGAGACATTAGAGGTCAATGGGCTTAAATCATCTTTGATCACTGCAGTTTTTAATATTTTCTGAAAAAAAAAGTATGCAATATATACTCTTCAAAAAAAAGTAGGGGATATTGAAATGCTAATACCTATGCAGGTTGTGATATGATAAAAAGTCATGGACACTTGACATGCTTTGAGAGTATGTTCACAGATGAAGAACTTTATCGCCCCAATAGAATCACTGAGCTGCACATGCGACACGCAATAGCACCATACGCCTGGGAGGGGTTCATTGTCAAATTTGACACTTCAAGGAAGGGTTGATGAAAACTGCCGCGTGCTGGTTTATCCTATCCATGTTTGCTTTCCTATCGGTTCTTGCATAAGATTTACTGTTTAGCGTATCTTTGCTTTAATGTGTTACGTTTAATTTGATCAGGTGACGTGTTCGTTGACGTCAACGGACAATACTGCAAGAGGAGTGGGTCAGATTGCCCAAAATCGTGATTGGATGGTTGATTAGGAGCATGCCACGACAAATTGCTGAATGTCTGAGGATTGGTGGAGCAATTGCTCGACAAAAATCAAAAATGTTCATTTTCACTTTTGACAGTGTATCTCTTTGTGAGTGAAATGGGGCTGTCAGATAAGCCGCCCATATGCACTGTTTATGTTCATGTGTAGGCAATTGGCCTGTTATTAACATACACTGGTTACCTCTAATAAAAACAGCAGTGCATTTCCACAGTTTTGTATTGTTTCTGAATATCCCCTACTTTTTTTGAAGAGTATATTTATTGATTTGTACTGCCTTCTGGTATCCAAACTGGAAGTTACTTGTTATTGAATAAGACATGTCAAAGTGCAGCTGATCGGTTGGTAGAGCCGTCTAATTATAACCATGAAAACAGTTGGCTAATTATAAATAAATAGAACCATATAACTAAACAACTAAATAAATAGTAATATAACAATTCATGAGGTTAAAGTACAGTATTTCTGCTGTCATATTTTATTAAAAGAGATTATCACAGACAGGCTCACTCCTAATTACAGAATATCTGTTAAATCCACAATTTAAATTTAAAGAATGCTTGCAAGTCCGCATCATCCACTGATTTTCTGTTCACACCTGCATAGACAGTTTTCAAAGTTTCAAATTTAAACTTCTCTTCTAGAATCTTCACATTTTTCTCTAAAGCTCCTGCAATGAGTATAGATAAATGTAGATATAAAATTTATTATATATGCATATTTTGTAAATTTAATCTAGCGGGTCTACAACCTTGGTATTACCATCCATGGTATCCCCAGTGGTCTCATTCCGTTCTACTCCACTAATACCCTGGGTTCATCCATGAAGTATTCACATATTTAAATTATCTGCCCTCGATTGTAGCTGGAATCCACGAAACAATTCAAAAATGAAATCTCGTTAATGGTATGGCTAATTTAAAGTATAGTCGTTTTTTTAGTAATTAAGTTACTGTGGACAGCAGCCCATTTCTTTCGATAAAACAAGGATTTTTTTTGTAAAGTATGCAATCATGAATGTTACTTTCATGTCAGTTGTAATGTATTTAACAATTTTTTGGATTGGGCAATATAAATAGCACAACATCAAGGGCAGATAATTTGAATACATGTCTCTCCCATCAATGAACCCAGGGGTAAGTTGAGAGGAATGGAATGAGGATGTGGTATTACATACTTTTACACTATTTGCGAACAAGGAGCAGCCATTATGTCAGGCAGATTCAGCACGATTTTCACGAAATGCGATCTCAACCATCATTAGGGTGTAACAGTGATATATTTAAATGGTTTTTTTATACGCCCACATTTCCATGTGGGCGTATATTGTCGTCGCCCCTGTCAGTCCGTCCATAATTGTTTGTGAACACTCTACAGATCACAATTCTTATTCGATTTCAACGAAACTTGAAATATAGGTTTATCTCCCCAAGATCTCGGTTCCTTTCAATATTGGCATGTATCGAACCGTAAAAATCGGACCGAAACTGACAGATAAAATGGCCGCCCCTGGTTCGCAAATAGTGTTAAAATATTGCGTATCAGGGTTGTGTACCCTCTGGAGGTCACAATTTTCATCTGATTTTGATGAAACTTAAAATGCATGTTTATAACCCATAGATCTCGGTTCCTTTCGATATTCGTGCATATTGAACCATAACTTCCTGAATTATGGCCCCTGATTGTACAAAAAATCGCGTTTCTAGCTTGTGGACACCATAGAGGTCACAATTTTTATCCGATTTAAAAAAAAAAACGTTTGAATACATCACCGTTACACCCTAAGGATGGTTGAGTTTGGATTTCGTAAAGATCGGACCGAAACTGACGGACAAAATGGCCACCCCTCGTTTGCAAGTAGTGTCAAAATGTTGTATATCAGGGTTGTGGACCCTTTGGAGGTCACAATTGTCATCTGATTTTGATCAAATTTGAAATGCATGTTTATATCCCAAATATCTTGGTTCCTTTCTATTTTAGTGCATATCGAATCATAACTTCTCGAATTATGGGCTATGGCCCCTGATTTTACGAAAAATCTCGTTTTTAGCTTGTGGTCCCTCCAGAGGTCACAATTATTATCCGATTTAAAAAAACGTTCGAATATATCACCGTTACACCATAATTTTGTCTGAGGTTGAATTTCATGAAAATCGGACCAAAATTGCCAGACAAAATGGCCGCCCCTCGTACGCAAATAGTGTAAACATCTGGTATATCAAAGTTGTGGACCCTCTAGAGGCCACAATTTTGATCAGATTTTGATGAAGATTGAAATGCAAGTTTATAACCCAAAGATCTCGGTTCCTTTCAATATTCGCGCATATCACATTGTAACTTCCTGAATTATGGCCTCTGGTTGTACGAAAAATCACGTTTTTAGCTTGTGGTCCCACTAGAGGTCACAATTATTATTTGATTTAAAAAAACATTCGAATATATCACCGTTACATCGTAATGTTTGTTGATGTCGAATTTCATGAAAGTCGGGCCAAAACTGCTGGACAAAATGGCCGAGCCTCGTACGCAAATAGGGGATCACGTTTTCCAGCGTGGTTCTCCCTTGTCAGTGATGCAGGACGGAGGGGCTGACAAGGAAAGCTGTCTAGTCGTTCAGATGGGACGAAAAACCGAGGTCCCTTGTACACATTGGCATGCACGTAAAACATCCCTTGGCAGTTGGAATTCGATATAAGAGTAGGCCGTAGTGCCGCTGTCCGGGCAAAATTTCCCTCATAGCACACTGTATGGCGTAGCCCAGGTTAGGAGCAGAACAGTAGGACGTTAAACTCCATTTCATTTCATTTCGTACGCAAATAGTGTAAACATCTAGTAAATCAAGGTTGTGGACCCTCTAGAGGACACAATTTTGATCCGATTTCGATGAAACTTGAAATACATGTTCATAACCCAAAGATATTGGTTCCTGTCGATATTCGCGCATATCAGATCGTACCTTCTTGAATTAATGCCCTTGATTGAACAAAAAATCACGTTTTTAGCTTGTGGTCCCTGTAGAGGTCACAATTTTTATCCGATTTAAAAAAACCGTGTGAATATATTAACATATGATCAGATGGGCTGTTTATTAGGACATTATAAACACACATTTATGTTTACTTAATGTTTAGTACACAAAGTAAATTCACTCATACTGGGCCCTTATTCACGAAAACTTAAACTACCGGGACTGCACGTATTTAAGCCCTGAGCTTAAATACGGATTTTGCCTGTTTTCATCAGGTAACATTTTAGTCAAATATAAGCCCAGGGCTTAAAAACGAAAAACTAGCGTATAATACTGACTGAGATTTTCCATGGATAGCACGTTTCAGCAAACATCCGTTAAGGGAGACCACTCTAATTCAATAATCTAATTTACGCCCATGGGCTTAAAAACGTTTTTTTTGCCCATTATTAAGCCCATGGGCTAAATAACTGGTGGGCTTAAATACGTGCAGTCCCGTTAAGTTACAACCGAAATTTTAAGAAATACTGCAAATTCATTGGATATATGCAAATTGATTTTACTGGTCAGCCAATCGAATTGCAGTATTTCTTAAAATTTCGATTGTATCTTAGTTTAAGTTTTCGTGAATAAGGGCCCGGAACAGTACGCCGTGACCCAATTCACGGCAGGTGGTTTGTTTGCCAACTTGCAATTCATCGATTCGTCCGTCTGCTTCAAAGTTTTTGTTCTCCCTTGCAGTGTTTTTCAACATAAACAGACCAAAATTATTAGCATGTGAGAATATAATATATAGTGCATTTTAGCACATAATGTTGATGGAACAAATTTTCATTTTTTTCTTCCAGTTTCTCTTGAAAATGGCTGGGCTCGAATCTGTATGCGGCATTAATTACTGTAGACTCGTAGAAGATATATCTTATATTATTCCAATACATTGGTCAAGGCCTTCACAAGCCTATGATTAAAGAATTTTTAAAATACAATTTTTTTACCCTTTCAACACTATCTAAATCAACTTATAAGTAAACTTTTTATGTTTATTTCCCCTTCAACCCTCCATTTGATTGAAAACCCCTATATATCTTGGAAAAATCATAATTTTTGCTGAAATATGAACTGTTTTAGGGGAAGTGACTTTCTATCTCAGCCTCCAAGGTGGCTAGTGCATAAATATTCAAAGGAGACTTCTGGTATGCACTTAGACACAAAAAGTGTTGCCCCGATGCATAGGTATCCCCACCCACCCCCCACCCTCACCCATGTGTGGGCCCTAATGTTGGTGTCTGACGTTGACATACTTTTGAAGTTTAAAGATTTATTTGAATATATATGTGCCACATGTCCATTGAAATATACTCTTCAATAAAAAAGTAGGGGATATTGAAATGCAAATACCTATGCAGGTTGCGATATGATAAATAGTCATGGACATTTGACATGCTTTGAGCATATGTTCACAGATGAAGAAGTTATCGCCCCAACAGAACCACTGAGCTGCACACGCAACACGCAATAGCGCCATACACGTGGGAGGGGTTCATTGCCAAATTTGACACTTCAAGGAAGGGTTGAGGAAAACTGCCGTGTGCTGGTTTATCTATCACTGTTTGCTTTCCTATCGGTACTTGCATAAGATATACTGTTTAGCGTATCTTTGCTTTAGTGTGTTAAGTTTAATTTGATCGGGAGACATACGTCAACGTCAACCGACAACACTGCAAGAATTGGCCGTGGCACTGCAAGAGGAGTGGGTCAGATTGCCCCAAATCGTAATTCGTCACGACGAATTTCTGAATGTCTGGGATTGGTGGAGCAATTACTCATTATTAAGACAAAAATCAAAAACGTCCATTTTCACTTTTGACAGTGTATCTCTTTGCGAGTGAAATGGGGCCGTCAGATAAGGCGACCATATGAACTGTTTATGTTCATGTGTAGGCAATTGGGCTGTTATTAACATACACTGGTTACCTCAAATAAAAACAGCAGTGCATTTCCGCAGTTTTGTATTGTTTCTGAATATCCCCTACATTTTTTGAAGAGAATATATATAAAAAAACACTGTCAGCAGACTCAGCACGCACAAAAACATTCAAGCAGATGAAATATCTCTCACTTGCCGGGTGTCAAACAAACTACGTGATGCAAACAATTATTAACCATGTGGCGTGAACTGGGCCACAACGTACTGTTCAGTATGTGTGAATTTACGCGTAGGATTTGTTTATTAAATAACACATAATTTCATACTCATAATATCCCAATAAACAGTCCCTTTGTCGGATTCTCATCCAAACGATGATGTGTGAACATAATAATAGGTCGCTAATATAAACATATGCCAATTATGTATGCTACTATGCTTCTTATAGAGACCACTGAGCATGTTGAACCAACTACATCACTTCCGGTTTAAAAAAAGTTAATTTCTCGCTTACAAAATCTTTTTCGCTTGTGTTACAGAGGGGATTATTTCTGAATATAAAAGATTTATGGAAACCTTGTTGAAAATCGTTGGTCTTCCCCTTTAACAGGGGTGACCTCTTTAAAAAAAAAATTCCCAGTGTTTGTTAGTGCTGATTTCAAGAAATTTTTTACCATAGGTAAATTTGGCTCTCACTGAAACTCTCTATTGGAACGAATCTCTGATATAAATTCTATAAAGGTGTCTGTTTTGACCAACTGTTACTGCCTACCTT